CACTGGAGGATCTGGTTTAGGGTTTAGGGGTTCCAGCAGTGACAGGTTAATGGTTGGACTCATTGATCTTAGAGTTCTCCTCCAACTTCGATAACTCTATGAAAGACAATAATATTTTTCAAACGCTAAAAGCAATTTTCCACATACTTTCACTAAGTTCTTCAGAGTCTGCTGAGCTCTCTCTCTTTATTTTCTTCCCCTCTATTGGTCCCTGCAGAGGAGACAACTGTGGTCTGTCCTGAGTTTTGGATGGAGTTTCTTGACCCTGTGGTCTGTGAGGTTTTCCAACCATACAAGCCCCACTTGCTGTGAACTTGAACACTCCATTGTCCGATTCTGACGCAAGACTTGACAGATCAGGTTTCTGCAAGAAGCAGTGTTTCATGTGGTAGTGCTGCTGTGCACTAGGAAGATCATCAAAGTACTTGCTGCATGCAGCACACCTGACAACATACATCTCTCCCCTGGCTTTCTGCGACGTGTGAGTGTTGAGGTGGCTGTGCAGATCAGCAAGATTCTGTGCCGTTGCAGAACACAAGCAGCATCGAAACCATAAGCTTCCTTTTTGCAGCAGGGCTTTCTGACAACTCTCATAATCATTCCTCCTGTTTGTTTTGGAGGCATAAGTTGTCCTGCAACCACAGGTTAAACAATCTCCTTCTTCAACTGGGAGGAAATCATTCTCCTCTTTTATGGATACTTCCATCTGCTCAGGTACAAATGTATAGTCCGTGCTATGAATCTCCTTATAATGGGTAAGAAATTCTTCTTCTGTGTCAAAGAAGAGATTACCACAAAGGCCACAGAAGTATTTAATCTGTATCTCCTGATTATGATGCTCCTGGAAGTGTCGCTGCAGCGTTCCTACTTTCCGAAAGTGGTTCTTGCACAAGCCACAGGAGTACCTGTGGAATGCATGGCTTTCCAGGGACATGCAGTGCTGCTTCACACTCTCTTCAGACTCAAACATCTCCTCACAAATGCGGCACTGCCACTTTCCCACAACAGAACTTGTTTCAGGAGACACTTCCATCGGGCTGGGAACGCGGTCTTTGTCTCGGCCCGTGGAAACACACACTGTGTCTGAGGCAGATGGCATAGCTTCATCTTCCACAGCTTCTTGCTCGTAATAGTAGCTATGTCCACCGTGGCGTTCGGTGATGTGTCCCATAACATCCTCTTCTCTCAGCTCCACAGAGCATGCTCTGCACCAGAGAAGGAAATTGGTCAGGTGTGCTCCCCCATGGAAGCGACTCATGTGCAGGCGGATAATGCTGGAGTACTCAGCAAGCTTTCCACACACAGCACACTTGTGACAGATCCTGTTTGCTGCTAAGATGTGCTTTTCTACTGCCTCTTCTGTAAAAAACTTCTGAAAGCACTCACAGAACCAGGCTTTCACTTTGCAAGCACTACCTTGACTTTGGTTTGATACATTGGCTTTGTTCTCATCTTTGAAATTACTCTTCTGTTTTGAAGGAGTACATCCCCTCTCACTGGAAGACTCCTCTGAAGTCAAATGTCTTTTCAGCAGTGGCCTTGAGCGACCCACAGTAGGGCACAAGTGAGTCTGGGTTTTATTTCTTCCATTGACATGACAGAACATCAATATGGACTCTTCCATTGTAGTAAAAACCCTGATGTTATGTTGAGTGGTTTGCTTATGTTGGGTTATCTGATTTTCATCAGCAAAGAGTTCATCACAGCTCTCACAGTGACCTTTGGTTTTAAATACCCCTGCAACTTGGGAGATGCTTTTTCTTGACAGTGCCACGGGCCCAGAATTATGGCAACGTGTTCTAGAATGGATTAGAAAACATAAACAAGTTATAATCTGAAACGCTGTTAAACTTCCAGATATACTTTGAAATATTACCTAGTATCTACACTAAACAGTGTGTGGAAATAATGTCCTCTGTAGACCTGAACTCACCTGCTAGCTTGGCAATAAAACCCTGCAATGTATATCTAGTCTCTGCACCTGACAGAGAACGAGGTGCTAATTCCCCAAGCTAGCACTTAGATTGATGCTTATGTTGGTGACTCTACATTTTCAAAAAGCAAATGCTGCCAACTTAGAAACAGTGGAGCAGAGATCAAGTTCTGGTGCTCTGTTACAGGAAATAACTAAATAACTAGAAGGATAGTGACATTCATAAGCATTTTGCAGAGGATTGTGTGGGGCAAGATGGGCTAAAAGACATGAAAGGAGGAAGGTTTTTGATGGTTTACATAGAAGTCAACATTCAGGTGGTCCTAGCTGCCCTGAAATGCACTGGTAGCACTAAAAACATGTCTGTCTATCTGTCCCTGACCTGTGGATGTTCACACTGTCTGGCACAAACCTGAAATGAGCTGTTAATTCCTTATGCGAGCGCAGGATCTGGTGGCAGGAGATACACTTCACCTGAAAAGGGACCTCTTTGCACAGAGATATCAGAAGGTTCTTTGCATAGGATGGGAAAGGTAGAGGAATGTCAGACTTCAGTTCATCTATAAAATGGAATGGTAGATAGCACAGCCACACATTAGAATTCTTTCACAGTATTTCAAGCCTTGCTTTTTCATGCTCAGTGACTGACTCTGCTTCCCTTCTCCTCATTCTGCAAGGTCAGGTCAGATATCTCTCTTAGGAAGGTTCTTATTGACCTTCTCCCCCTCCATCTATCACCAGCTGTCCACTCCTAGCACACAATTATTTTTTAAGCCATAGTGTGTTTAAGAAGATAAAGCATGCAATTCATTCAACAAGTTCCCACATACTCTGAACATCTTTTTTCCTGTTCTTAGAAGGGAGGTGGTAGATGCTCCAACCCTGGTAGTGCTCAAGGCCAGGTTGGATGAAGCCTTGAGTAACTGCTCTGGTGGGAGGTGTCCCTGCCCAGGGCAGGGGTTGGGAGATGACCTGTAAGGTCCCCTAAAATGGTATGATTCTATGAATGTTAATTCTCAAATTAGGTGCAGAACTTTGTTGTTTCAAGCACATACTCCATGTCTAACTTCAGGTACCAGCAAAACAAAAAACTTCACTGTTGTGAAGAGAATGGGAAACAGTTTATGATTGCATATTGTTAATGTTCTGGATCTTAGGAGGCAAATTCTCTTTGTTTTTTCTGTTTAGTAAGATGTGATGATCAGTAATCTGAGGGTTCTGGATCTTAGGAGGCAAATTCTCTTTGTTTTTTGTTTAGTAAAATGTGATGATCAGTAATCTGAGATGATGCCTATCAACTAACTTCACTGGCAGATCTGAGAGATCACACTGATAATATTAACCATGAAGACCTACCAACACAAAGGAGAAACAGAGCCCTCCCTTTTTGTTCTGAGCCAAGCACTATCCTCCTCTAAAGAAGAATTAGGAGGCAAATTCTCTTTGTTTTTTGTTTAGTAAAATGTGATGATCAGTAATCTGAGATGATGCCTATCAACTAACTTCACTGGCAGATCTGAGAGATCACACTGATAATATTAACCATGAAGACCTACCAACACAAAGGAGAAACAGAGCCCTCCCTTTTTGTTCTGAGCCAAGCACTATCCTCCTCTAAAGAAGAAAACACTATTTTGTGCTTTTAATCTTTTCAGAGCAATAGCTCACCAGCAATCTTTTTGCAAAACCTATGACCTGAATTTAAAGGCATCCACAGTCAGCATGTTCAGAATTAATAATCTATTTGAGAAAAAAAGTACATTAGATTTACACTGCATAGGAGAATGTAGGGCCATGCAGTGATTGTCACTTCCATGAAGACAGCAGTCCCAACTCAGCCTACAGGAAGATTCCTTCCAGGCCTGTCTTTCCTGTAGACTTCCTACAGACACTCTGGGGGAGGGCAGAACCCAAAGGCAGAGTCATGAAGATGAGAAATAATTATACCAATCCTTTAGGTCATGTAGGCTTACCCTGAAAGCTACAAATATGAGTTGTCAACTCCATGTCAGCTGTCTTGGCCATTGAGCTAACATTAAAGTAAGAGTATTAATGCCTATTGCTGATGTCAGAACTAAAAAGTCAGTATGGCTGTGATAGGCATTAATTCTGTTTTCAAGACTCTGATTAGACAGGTGTTTTCTGTGGACTCTAGTAAGTGTGGTTCAGGATGCTACCAGCTCACAACATCACCAGTATTTCAGCCTTCAGCAGTGCTGCAGTCAGTGCAAGCCATCAGACCTGCAGCTCTGCTCCAGCTCAGCAGGCTGAATCTGCAATTGTACAGAGAAGAAACCTTGACAGATCTTTGCCCTCAGGAATGTCAAGGACATAGGAAAAATTGCCTCAAAGCAGACTACAGACAGCACAGTAAGGGGAAGCAACTCCACAGCCAGTCCAACTGGAATTGAAACAGAAATATATCTGTGGTAGTTTGAGTTTCTATTAACATGCTAAATGTAAACTTCTTTAGGACAGTACTTGCAGAGTCACTGAAGGATGATAAATTTATAGGAGAGACCTGACAGCTTCTCATTTCTACACAAAAATACGAATTTCAAAGCATCACATTCAAGACCTTAAAAGAAAAATAGGGATTCATTCAAATCAAACTTGAAAACCTTCAGCTTCTTCATGCAGCAGAAAAACGCAAGTCACTTCATATCCTAAGGATGAATTAGCAGAAGAAATGAAAAGCAATGCACTTAGTAGCAACTTACCACTCAATTTAGAAACCTGGAGGAAGTGGTTCTTTACTGACATATGTTGTGAGCACTCTTCTCTTTTGGTGAAAAGGAGGAAGCATTTTGGGCATGCAAAACACTGAATGTGCTGTGGAGGGAGATCATTTTTATGCCCATCATTTTCATTTAGCTGGAAGAGAAAATGATCTGTTTAGGAAAAAAAAATAAGTCAAGAAACCAGTCCCAGTTCTCCTCATGTCCTCCCATTCCTATCTCCCTTCTGTGGCAACATTTTCACGTTTAGATTTTCAGTTGTCACATCTGTGTTTATCTACAGCCTACCCCTATGCACTTCAGCTCATGAGACACTAAAGGGACTGGCCAAACTGCCACTGTCACACTCAGCTACTCATCCATTCTTACTAAACCAGCAACTTCTCCATCCCCTTCTTGCACCATGGGAAGCAAGCACCTTCCTCAGGAACTATGGGCTTCATCAGTTCTTAGCTAGTTCCTTTACTCAGGCTTTCAGAAAAAGCTCCTTCTTTCACTAAAGCAGCTGTTTTTTTCTCATGTCAGCTCTTTGTTAATCTTGCTAACCTCCAACTTCTACAAATGCTGCTCCTTAAAGTAGCCTGACAGATCCCTGACCTTTATCAAAGCCAGCTCCTTCCACCCTTTTGTCTTCTACATCAACTTCAGATCTCGGTCTTCAAGGCAAAAATCCTTTGGTTTTGCTCCTGATATTTTGGCTTGGTCCTTTCTGTGTCACTCAAAGAATCTTGGGTATATGCTTGCACTTTCTTCCACAGCTTTGATGAGGATTATCTCCCCATCCTTCCACACCAAAGTAATCCCATCTTCTTGCCTGCTGCAAGGGACAATCCCTTTCCCCAAACTTGGCTGCCCCTCCTGTTTATGCCCCTGGACACATCACAGCCACACAACTTGGAAAAGGAGCAAGGACAAACTAGGATGCAATCTTTCAAACTTGTCAGGTATGACTATGCATCAGGAGTTACTACTATGAGCTAAAACTAGCCTGATTTTCAGAGTGTCTAAACTTACCCCAAATTTAAATGACTATGCATCAGGAGTTACTACTATAAGCTAAAACTAGCCTGATTTTCAGTGTCTAAAACTTACCCTAAATTTATCATAGCTTCTGGAAACTAGGTGAGTACACAACAATATTTGTTATTAAAAAGACTCAGCTTGGAAAAATATTATCCTTTATCCAATTCATCACCAGACTGCTTAAATAAAAATCACACACCCAGAAGATAACACCTGAGCATCTGCCATTCAGCTGAGGTTTTTCAGGGCTATGCTATGAACAGACAGAGCATCACCAAAAATAAGGAAGTGAAGGTAGAGAAAAAACCAGTAACAACAATGCAGTGCTACTAGCTTATACTCAAATCAAAACTCAAGTGATAGGTTATCCTTTCCTTTCTGTAAGTTAACTAGTGAACAGCAGCAAACACCTCTATCAGAGAGACTGAAAACAGAGACCAAACATCTGCAACTCAATCACCCAAGTTTCTTTTTTCATTCTGTTGCCTTCTTCCCCCTCCCATCTCCTTTCTGCTGCTTCTCTTTACTGTCACTTATCTCACCCTAACTTTTTGCCTTTATTTTTCATAGCTCTGGAGATGTGAAAAAAGGAAACACCTTTTGACAACACCAACAGAGGGAGAAGAGGTTCCAGCCAGAACTATGATCCTCTCAAACGTATGCCAAGAAGTACAACCTAATGGTCAGATCTAAAGGGAGCACTGTCAGGCTACACTAGCTGTTTGAAAAACAGCAGAATAACAAACAACTATCTTGAAGACTAAAAGAGAGGTGAGAGACAGAGGGTTAAAAGGAAGAAAACCCGAAAATCAGTGCATAGTTATATGTCTTGCAAACCCTTTACTACATTCAACAGGTGAGTTACTTATCCTTCTGATCTTGCCTTAGATAAAAGATGATCACTGTATTGCTGGGGGGTTGAAAATCTTTGGCAGCATATCACACAGGCAACAGCATTATTTGGGGGTCCATGTAATGTGACTGTTGGGTCACAAGGAGAATGATCAAACCTGCAGAGGAAGAAATAATTAACAAACAAGTCTGCTCTAAATAGTCAAATGTTGATTTTTTTTTTAAATGGGAAAATTCTGTCCTTCGAAGCTGTTGGACAAAACCCCTACCTAGTCAACCTAAACTTCCTTACTTCTTTACTTCCCTTAGCATTATCTGTTGAAGTACCCTGTACAGAGGTGACTCTCCCTGCAGTTCACCTGTTACGTGGTCACTCTGCAGAAGAATCATATTGTTTTCAACAGAACCAACAAAGCCTCAATTTGCCACAGAAGGCTTAAAAAAAATGTATTAATTTTTACCTCACAGCACTAGGATGCTGGGATTGAGTAAGAAGCTGGGAGGAGACACAGCTGGGACAGATGAGCACAACTGGCCAAGGGAAGATCCCACAGCATGTGACAGTGCTCAGCAATAACAGCTGGCTGAAGGAGGAGGAATGGGAGACAGTTGGACTGATGATGTTTGTCTTCCCAACTATGATGTGTCATAAAGCCCTGCCTGTCAAGCTCTTATTTTGCTTTGCTTCTGTGCACAGCTTTTGCTTTACTTATTCAACTGTTTTTATCTCATCCCAGAGTTCTCTCACTTTCACCCTTCTGATTCTCCCCCCCATTCCCCCAGGGTGAGTGAGTGAGCAGCAGTGTGGGGCTGAGCTGCCTACTGGGGTTGATCCATGACACTCTCCTCAGCTTCTCACCTAACCATACAATCATAGAATTTTAGGGGTTGGAATAGACCTTACAGATCATCCAGCCCCAACCCCTGCCCTGGGCAGGGACACCTCCCACCAGAGCAGGTTGCTCAAGGCTCATCCAACCTGGCTGTGAACACTGCCAGGGTTGGGGCAGCCACAGCCTCCCTGGGCAGCCTGGGCCAGTGTCTCACCACCCTCACAGGGAAAAACGTTTTCCTGATACCTACTCTAAACTTCCCCTCCTTCAATTTGAATCCATCCTCCCCATGACACAGTCCCTAGCTACAAGGCAGTATCTGGTGGACCTGATCCCAGACACACCAAGTGCTGACTAGCAATGATCAGCTATAAAC